TATCCTGAAAACTTCCCCATTGACCCTTATCAAAGCTATGAAAAAATGAGGTCTAGCATCATCCCCTCTTGTAGTGATGAGGCGAGCAGGCCTGCTTTTCATCACGCCCGGCTCCCACACGGCTAGCTTAGCCCTGGAATAATTACATGGAAACTGTATTCATTTAAACACTGCCTGGTCCATTATTTCTAGCCTCATATTGGCTAACTCTCACATCTTGATTAACCCATTTCTGTTAAATCTGTGTAGCACCACGAGGCTGTGGCTTACTGGGAAAGATCCTAACCTATGTATGTCTTGGGCTGGAGATTCATGGCGTCTGCCTGACTCTGCTTTCTTCCTCCCAGAATTCTGTTCTGTCTACTCCACCCACTTAAGGGCTGCCCTATCAAAAGGCCAAGGCAGTTTCTTTATTAACCAATGAAAGTAACACATAGACAGATGACCCTCCTACATCACCCTCTAATAGCCCAAACTCTTCTACTTTCTTGGTGTTCAGTTTTATAAGTCTTTAATATATATACATGTATATTATATATATATATATAATATGTAATATTTATATATAATATATGTTATATTAGACATTATCATGTTCAGAAGCTATTTTTTTCCAATTAAAGTTGAATATGGTTATTTCCCCTCTAGCCCCTTGATCCTAAAACCCCTGTTTCCCAGTCCACAGTATTTGAATTGTTTCTAGTGTTATTATGGCAGTTATCCTGAAGTCCTGGAGCCTCTGGGCAGCTGGAGGGGGCTGGTACTTTTGGGAAAAGCTGACTTTAGAAGGCTTGATGGATTTCGACAGCTTAGAAACTGTTTTTCTGTTGTCTGCCACTTTCCTGGTGGCAGAGTCCTTTGCTCTAAGCCCCAGCTTTGCATCCACTTTGTAAGCACACTGGAAGGTGCAAACTCTATGACAGGTTTCCATGCTTAATTCACACCAGCAAGTAATCCTTCCAGTCAAGGGGGCTGATTTAATGGCAGGGACAATTTATTTCTCTCTGGGTAGTTAGAGACAGTTGGACTCTAATTCTTAAGAGCCTTTGTTCAGGAACATCTGGGTTGAAAATGCTATAGCTAACAGATGATGTCGGCAATAAAAGGAAGGGGGCTTTGTATAATGGCATAGTCAAATTTGGTAGACCTCTACTTAATAATTATAAGGAAAGCAATCTAACTTGTTATTACAACAGTTTTATTGCCGATTGCTGGTTTAAGACCTTTCTGTGACAAGTGGAATTTTCCCCCCTCTTAGAAGGGGAAAAAAAGATCATTTCTATTTCCTTGTAATTTTTGCAACTAGTGACAACTTCCCACATTGGACATATTGGGAAAATTCATTTTAGAAACCAAGAATTAGACTCTCGCTAAGTTATGGCTGGATTTGTCTTGTTTACTATACTGTGAAGGCTTTCTGGCTTTTTTCTCTTTTGTTCTTCACTAACCCTGATTGTGCTTCCTGATTCTATACCTGTTCTGTATACATAGTAATCCAACAAGCTGAGCAAAGCCAGAGGAATGAAGATCGTGCCTAGATAAGGCTGAGCCAGGAAGGAATGGGCACTGTGGCACAGTGGAGAAGGGGCAATCCTGGCAGGAGTTCCTTTTAACTAAATAAAGGGTAACTCCAGTGTGACCACGTTTGATTTGCAGAGGAATACTGAGAAGCCAGATCCTTTGAAGGAATACTTTGTTGTTCAAACAGTATGGGTCGAGTTTGTGTTGGGCTTCGCTGGCCTTTCTCTGCACCACACATTAAATGGAGACTGCCTTTTACTTTTTTTTTTAATGCAAAAGCTATTTGAATGCAAAGTCCATTCTACTTTACCAAACGAAAATAATTCGAGTTAGTATTCAACCAGAGGACATCAGTTTTGGATCGTCTGCAAACACATTCTTAGGCATGTACCCTCCTGTAACACAGAATCTAGAAGAACCCAAGAAGAAATGACTCTCTGTATCTTCAAATAAGATTCATATCTTGGCCTAATGCTTGGAAGGCAAATGTTAGATTCCCAGAGCTTATCATGATTATTATCTATTATTATTTCCATTTGTGTTGTCCCCAGTCTGTTGGCATCTAATCTAACAAGCAAGACAAAAAGCATCTTATTGCAGGATTCTGCACTCACTTCTCACGCTCTGTTAGTTCTCTATTTTGTTTTCCTCTTCATTGTTCTAGCCTCTTCTGTGAATCTCCTGTCTCTTCATCCGGTTTGCTTCATGCAGCCTTCATCAAAAGCTTGTTCTTTACACTCCCGGAATGCCAGGGAGGCAAACATGTGCCCTATCTACTAGAGACGTTTAGCACATAGAGGGGGGTGAACATAAAATTACCTTATTAGCTCCCTTTTTTGCTTATGTAGGCTTGACTTCAACCACCACCTTTGGACCTCTGATCCCACTCCACACCTCTCATATCCTTAGACCAAAGGATGTTACTGCTCTCTGTAGCAGGATCTAGCAAAAATGTGTGATTTGAACACTCAGAGAACCATACTTCTCTTTGTGGATTAATTGATGGTTTGTCGGTGTGGTTTGCAAATATTGAAAAGATACTTGTTTGAGCAATATTTAAAACATAGATAAGTCTAAGGAGGCAGGCAGGTGGGAGGGGGAAGCTGAGCAGTAGCAACAAGTGGGCACTGGGGGACATGGAGAAGGTGTACCTCCCGAGGAGTTCCTTTTAGCTATATGAAAGATGGTTCCAGTGTGACCACGTTTGATTTACCAAGGAAAACTGAAAATCCAGATCTTTTGTAAAATATGAAATTGCATGTTGGTGTCTGTTTCCAGTTTTTTTAAGGAATACTGTGTGATCAGACAGTATTGGCCAACTGCATGCTCAGCTCCCCTGGGTTTTCTCTGCTCATAGAGGAGTGGCAACACCATATATATTACATGGCGACTACATCTCTACTTATTTCTTTAATGCAGAAGCCATTTGACATTGAGCTTGTAGATTTTCCCTCCTTGGACTTCAGTTAATTTTCTATTTAAGAAGGGGATGAGGTGCTGGAGAGATAACATGTCTTGTAGAAGACCTGGGTTCAATCCCCAGCACCCATATGACAGCTCATAACCATCTGTCAGGGAGTGCACAAGATCGCCTGGGTCAGATTGACCTTCTTGCCTGAGGAAAGTCCTTGATTCTTAAACCCAGCAGGGTAAATGGCACTGTGGCAACTAAGAGTGAACACATCCACCCTACTGCATTTGATCTTAGTCAGAATGAGACAATGAAATGTAAACTTACTAGGAGCCACTCTTCCTTTCCCGCCAGTAGGGTTAAATCTATACAAGCAGTTAAGAGCTTCGATCCCGCAATCTATTTTCCCCCCAGTTACTATTTATCCTCACAAGTGGTTTTATTTCTACATAGGATTTGTCAAGATCTAGAAATTTATTATTGATTCCCTTGTATATTGACTTAAAATTGTACTTTCCCTGAAAGCACATTTCACTGGAGGGGAAGATGTCTCTCCCTCTAGGTCAGTTAGAAGCCTAATACCTAACCACTGGATGAGTTGTGTGGGCATTCTGGGTCTTAACTTTACCACCAGTCAAATACAAGGATGGTATCTCCCATGGAGGAAGGTGGTAAGAAATAAGTAGAGCCACCTAGGCCTTAGCTAGGACCTCATCCCTCATCCCCCATCCCCTTTACAATCCTGAAACTAAATAACCAGGGTTCATTTTTCATCATCACTTGAGCAATGTTTCATTATTTAATATCTCCTAGAATATATGATTTAATGCTTATTGTAGAAACATGTGATACATAATATATGTGGTTCATTTTTTTTCTTTTTGTGAGCTCTTATCTCTTTAAATAGTCAATGACCATCTTAATCTAAATTTTACTACGTTATTTTCAGGTTTATATCTTACTCTTTGTGACTCTAACATGTTAAAACAGTTCTCAGAATTCATTTTGGATTTGGCAGCCTTACACTCCACTGTACCGTTCTTCATTTAACCTTTGCCTTTGAGTTTTCTACTCCACATAACTAGCACTACCTGAATCTCTTTGTGCACAAGCATGTTGTGACACCTCTTTTTATGTTCTTGGAGCTGAGACACAGTGAGTAGGATTCATCTGTTTATGGAGGCCCTCTGTGTTAGTGGCTCTGTTTGCTGTGCACTGTGGGGGGAATTCCAAACACTTTGAAGACTTGTCTGTGGCCAAGGAGAGAATGGGAAGCAGCCACAGCCAGCGTAAACTTAGCTAGAAGCTAAATGACGTGGATACAGGCAAGGTGCTGGCGAGATTTGAAAAATAAAATCTATAAAGAGAGCAATAGCTAGAATATTGCTTGGAGCTGGTGATTAGACTGGCTGTGGCCTGGGCAAGTGGTTTGGAAGAGAAGATAAGATACTGGGGTGCAGAGGGTGCACAAGAGTGAAGGTGGGGAGGCAGGAAAAAGCCAACGAGAGCAGTCTGGTCTGCCGCCCAGAGCCCTGCCCAGAGGAGTTGAGGCAGCCTGGATAAAACCAGGAGTGAGAAAGCTGTAGTCATGCGCTGGGCACTTAGATGGAGGCTAAGTATTATTACCGTCATTCCAAGCACATGGGGGGCTGCTCTGAACAACAATATGAGCCATTTTACAAAAGGCTGAAATGGAATCCAAATAACAGGTCGCACTGCTCCAAGTCTCTTCCTCCCGCTGCAGTTAACATTTTACTATCCGGCTGAGTAACTAATGAATCTGGCTGCTGTAAATCCCCAGGCACAAATCTCTGCTTGGGGTCTGTATCTAGACATCCAGACCAGAGCCCAATTTGCACTTTGAACATCCAGTCCCTTATCACTTGTGGGAAATCAGCTTTAATGGGGAAGATGTGGAGGTGTCATTTTACTGACCCTGCCTTTGGCACCTGGGGGTAGACTCCCTGGATAATGGCTGCATTAGGGGACTGGAAGTTCCAGAAGGGGTTTGTTATGAGACTCCACTGTTCACAGTCATTGACTGGGAGGCCTCTCTGTCTCATTGCAGGCTGTGCTTTGTGAAGCTGAAACTCCTGATGATAGCCATTGAGTACAAGTCTGCCAACCGGGAGAGCCGGTAAGTTGATGTTCATGTAGTGTTTATCCTGGGAGGGGTCCGTCCACTTCCTCTTTCTCGCTTTATGAATTATTTGCTTAGAACCCAGTGCAGCACCTCCAGAATCCTGCGAAACATTTCAAGACACTGCAGCTTCTATTTCAGACCAGCTTGTCACACCATGCTCTACTGGACACCCAGACATTTCTCTGGAAGACAGGAGAGGGTAGCTCCACCCACTATGCTATAGCTACCCTTTACACAAGAAATCAGGAATGGAAGGACTCTTTCTTTTTATGTTCTTACTTTTTACGTTCTTTTTACTGCTGTAAGCAGAAAGCAGGTGGCCTCAGGCCTTCTTTCCAGCAGCCTGCTGTAGAGCGGTAATGGGAGGGGCCAGCTCTCTCAGTAGCCGATCTGTAAGCAGCCTATTATGGACCATATGTGTTTCTCCCACTGCAGCCATAGCCAGGTGGCAGAATAACAGCTTCATGTAAATTAGCCAGAAGAGAAGAGCTCTGAGGCAGGAGCTCTCATTATTTATTTATTTTTTACTTAATGGTGTGCAAATCAGACCAGAGAGGGACAAGGTCTGGTTGAAATAGATAACATTCCAGTCGATAACATGACCTTACTGCTGGTTGGTAGCGGCAATGTCTGAGCAGGAATCTGGTAGTGGTGGTGGGAGGTCCTAGGTGCCTCGTTGATAACACAGATAATCTTGGATCCTCAATTCTTACTCATAGTTTGGGGAGAAAGATAGCTGGTTAAAAGATAGCCTGACTTTTGTTCTCTGAAACGATGTATCCAGATGCTCTACCTCCTCTAGCAAGGCTTTTGCTCCTACATGTTAACAGGGCCAGAAGGGCAGCCCACCCACCTCAATACACGTCTTCATAACCGAACAGAATGCAGGACAACACTTAAAAGTTCTACTAGCTTCATTCAAGGAGTTTTGTCAGTCTTGATAAATGACCACACACACACACACACACACACACACACACACACACACACATGCCTATTTCCAAATATGTGTCTGTGACGTTAACAAAAGGAACACTGGATCACAGGCAAGTGGATCCTCTGTTGTCCCTCCCCTTAACTGTCATGTCAGATTGTCCACAGCCAATCTGACCAAATGCTGAGTTACTTTGAAAATCCAAATCAACCAGACACCGGAAGAGAAAATGGTGGCTTTGGTGTCCTTTTGTAGAACACTGTGGTAGCAATTTCAAAACTATGCATGGAAGGATATATTTTTCTTTTTTTTGTTGGCAAAGGAAGGACTATTAAAAGTATTATTTGAGCCCAAGAGAGCCATGACCATTTGTCTGTCAACAGTTAATGTGGGATTTGCTAGAGTTACCATTAGCCCACCTTTACACTAGCCTTACCTGGATCCACGTGGATGGAGGAAGGACTGTGGGTCCTTGGATTTTTTTTGGAGGGTGGGGTAGGTTGTGAATGGCAATCTTTGTGGATCAGAGGACCTCTCTCTATTGCTTTTGTGCATCTCTCTCCAAACAAACATAAAGGAAAGAAAGGGAAAAAAAAGGAAGGAAAGAAGGAAGGAAGGAAGGAAGGAAGGAAGGAAGGAGGAAAAGGATCGCTGCATAGGTGGTGTTGATGAGTATTTTCTGGAATGATCTCATGGCAGCACTGAGCCATGAGCATCAGCCACTCAGCTCCCACTTACCACCCTTTGGTCCCAGGAAAGAGAGGTGCCACTAGAGGCCAGGCACTGTTCTAAGGAAACAGATTTCAGGTCCCAGGAAAACACAGCCTTCTCTTTGACAGGGCCTCTCATTGATTCATAAACCTGAGCTGTTTCCAACAAAGCCATGTCTAGAGATATAGGTTGTGATTTTGTTTTCCCTCCTAGTGCCCCCAGAAAAGGCAAAAAAGGAACTTGTCTGGCTTTGTATTGGCTTTTTGTGTGCAGTTGCCAGCATTAATCCTCAGTGTGGCTTGGTCTCAGTGTGGAAGCACATGAGTGCTGTGGAAAAGGTGTGCTGGAGGGAACGTGGCTCGTACCCCAACAAAACACAAGATGTACTCAACAAAGCGTCTAAGTCCAAAGCGCACTTTTGTTTTTATATCCTTGTGAGAGAACTAGTCCTCATCCTCTCACGTTTTGTAATGGACAAGGTATGGAAATCTAGAGAAGCTGCTTCTCTTCCCACTTCCTACCTCTGACCAATGTTTGAGGTTCTTCTCTGTTGTTGGCTCCACCCATGATCCTTTTTCCATGCTTTGCTGATAAACCTTGTTTTCACATGCATCCTTCAAATGATTTGAAACAAAGGTTTTATTCCTTCCTTCCTCCTGGTGTCAGTCAATTTATTATCAAATTGTTTGATTTGAAATTCTTTTCTTGTCGTTTTGCAGAAGCCGAAAGCGGTATGCATTCTTCGTTAACTTTCCTTCCAACCTCCACCCTCTGTCTTCACTCCTAACCACAGGACTAACCATTTGCCAAGAACTCAAGAAGAGAGATTATATATATGAATATATAATCTCATTCCCTTGTCTAGTATATATATATAGTATATCTATACATATATATATATATATATATTATACATATGTATCACTCGTCTCCCACTAGAATACATAAAAGTAGCCTGCTGCTGTCCTTGTTTGATTTGTTGATTCTTTTGGTTGATGCACTAACTTCTTTGCAGGAAAACTAAAATAAATAAGTAAAAAGGTAAATAGAAAGGCATAGATTGTCTTCAATCTTAGCACTAATGATGAAAACAAATAATATTCAACTTGAAAAGAAGACCGTTTCTCTCCAGCCCTCTGTGTCTGTTTCTGTACTGTCCTGATGTTGTCCTGGTATCCATCAGATGCGGGCACCATTTTGTCTTCATCCCACATCCACATTCCCAGTGACCTTCTCGCCCCTCTGTTGAGTTTCCACTTGTCAATCAGTTTCTGTCCTTTATCCACAAAACAGAGACCAAGCCCTAGCACCTCGCCTTTTCCTCATTCTTGTTCGGGTTGATTTCATTTTGACTGTCTAATTTCTTGAGCAGTTCTCTGTAGAGACTTGAAATGCCAGCACTGAACTGCCCAGCTGTGTATTTGTGTTCTGCAATAAGCACTGTTTGTTGGGACAAACTCATGGTTTTCTTTTGCCCCTTGTGTGTTTGGCACATTTCTTAGTAGGAAGTATCTCAGCTTTTACCATGTCACTTCATCCTGTTTTGCCGCTGTTTTGTGTTGCATGAAGCATGACAAAATTATTATCAATGACGTTTTTTTAATTATTTGGGTTTTGGGTGATTGTTTTGTTGTTGTTACATTTTTCAGCATAGTTTTTTTTTACAAGGCATTCTCTAAGACAGTACTGTTGAAAAGAGACTGTGACAATGCCGACCTCTTCATGTTCTTCTTCATGGTTGTAGTCACTGTCATGTGTTTGTGTTTATATTTGTGTGTTTGTGTTGTCTGGGATTCTTTCCAATGTCAGATCTTCTGTGATTTTTTTTTAGTAGATGTGAATAAATAGAGGTGGCTTCCTGTCAGTTTGGTATTATTGATATGATCCAACTGCGAGAAGTTATTGCAACACTATGCATCTTCAGAGGTCCACAGTGGTTGCACCTCTGCTGTTGGCTTCTGGCCTGGGGCCCTTTTACTTTGTGGTGAAGGCATGTTGTGATATGGGCATGACTTGTCTTAATGTGTACCAGAGAGTATGGCTTGCTCCCAGAACCACATGTCCAGTGTTATCTTTCCTAGATCAGCTCTCTAGCCTCTCCCATGTAGCTAGTCTTCTTATACTCTACAAATATATGGAAATTTTACTTTTAAGATTATTGATGTGAACTTGGGCTAAATCATATATTGCCAATATTGTTGTGGACCACAGTGATGGTCATTTGAGTCTGACCAGCTGGGAGCAACCTTGATTATGGTGTCTCTGTATGTAAGTGAACTAGGCCTATGCATATTGAAGCATGGAATACACACCTGTGTCTTTTACACATATTCTAATGTAAATGCATGTGTCTAGTTGTGTGGGATTCCAGCAGCACTTATTGTAAAGCCCAGAAGAAATGGAAAGTTCCAGAGAAGTGATGAGGTTTGAGATTTGGGTTTTTTCTAAGCTATGTCATAACACAACACAAACTTCAGTGCAGTTGAACTTCCTGAGAGGGGACAGAAATTGGTTTGAATCAAGTTCCTGCTGACAGTAATTGTCCATGAACTTGAATGATCAGAGAGACCTCTTCCCAATGGTGTGAGTCAGCAGGGCATAGCATGAACTGAGCTCCTCAGTGGTTCTGACTTGCTTGCTCTGTTTAATGAAGTCCCATTAGCTTGCTAGACACAACTGTGATCATAGTGTTTCCAAGTATAAACTATACCTTCACAGAAGTGGTGATATTTTCTCAATTGCTTGGGGAATGGTACACGATGCCTCAAGGGGGGGGGGGGATGGGGACAAAACTACACACACACACACACACACACACACACACACACACACACACAAATGCATGCACGCAGTCTATTTGTCCATAGTGGATGAAAGTCTTCTTTAAGGTATCTGTTTCAGTTGAATTATTAGTCATTGGCCATTCCCCCTAACAAAGGTAAGGATTAGGAGGACTGAGGAAGGATTACTAAATAATTCTGCAGCTGTTGCACCTTAAGTATTGGAGAGAAGAAAAAGAATATTTCTCCCCACCTAGTCCTGATTTTTTTTTTCAATCTGCCGCAAGTTCAAGCATAAGATAGTCAATATAATGTCTGCCCTAGGGCCCTGATAAAAACATGCCCCATTGGATAGAGCCCATTCTGTGGATATGTTCTGCAATTAGAAACATGCATTTCAATTCTAAGTGAGTTTTGCTTTCAGTATTGAAACCAATTGCTCCAGCTGCCTAAGTGACTGTTTACATATTTGCATATTTGTATATTTATACTTAATGCCTCTGGGAACTTAGCTTGGTGGCCAATCTACAAGAAGACTTGTGGTCACGCATTTGATCAGGCTGACTGATGAGAATCACAGTAGTTGTTACTTTCATTTATTGGAGAGAAAAAGAGAAACTTGGAGAACTGAGGTCAGTTTCCATTCATTCTACAGATCTAGAAAGTGCCTGTAGCATGTAGGACTCCCTAAGTTCTACTAAGGAAAACTCAGAAGTATGGGGCTGGAGAAATGGCTCAGAGGTTAAGAGCATTGCCTGCTCTTCCAAAGGTCCTGAGTTCAATTCCCAGCAACCACATGGTGGCTCACAACCATCTGGTGCCCTCTTCTGGCCTGCAGGCATACATACAGACAGAATATTGTATACATAATAAATAAATAAATATTTAAAAAAAAAAAACCAACTCAGAAGTAAATGGAGATCCTGTTTCTCAGTCTTCCAACCGGCAGTGATCTCTTACAGAAAGTGTGTGCTTTGTTCTTGTGAAGGGTAAGCAGACGAAGAATAAGCTTTGCTGCAGACGTAGGAAAAGCAATGAGCGAGAATTCGTGGAGATGGGACCACACAAGCCCTGTGCTGCCAGCTCTCACTAGGCGTTTTCAATTGAAGTCAGCAAGGTCATGGGGAAAAGGGGGGGATAATTTATATCGTCCTTGAAATGAGGAAATGTCTCCTTCTGCCAAGATGTCCTTGTTGGAATTCTGCTAATGGATGCGCAGGAAGAAAGGCCTCTCCCGATAGGAGACTCCTCTTGGAGATTTCCTTGATTCTCCGCATGACACATCTTGAGTTTTATCTCTGATAAGCTTATGACTTAAACAAAATTGAAGCCAGAAAATTGATTAAAAGTGGTACTTGTGGAGGAAGATGTTTGGCAAAGAGGCTGTGAAACTCACAAGTCACCTAGGAAACGTCCTATGTTGTGGGCCCCAGGAATCAGAGGCCTGTTCTTCACCACCCTTAGAGCTCAGTCTAGCCTGTGCCACATGGAGCACCTGGCTGATGGACTTCCTCTTAGAGCTCAGTCTAACCTGCATGGCACAGATCACCTGTCTGATGGACTTCCCCTTAGAGCTCAGTCTAGCCTGCAAGGCACAGAGCACCTGTGCTTATGGACTTCATATTTTTTTCCTGGATGGGCTCATTCTTTTGACTCCCTCAAATGAACCCACCGAAGCCTGTCTTAGCCTAGCCTTTATACCTGCCTCATACTTCATATGCATACAAGTTTAATCTTCGCACCCTTTCCATAGGGCACATGAGGGTATTTGGGGATCCCAAGAGCTCTAGGGACAGGAGATGCTGTCTATCTCTTGCATATCACCATAAAACTCAAGATATAGAGTGATTTTGATTTGTAGCACAAGGCAAATTTGTAGTAACCCATTTCTAGATGTTGCCCAGAGACCACACCTTCCCAGGGTTCTGTTAGCATTGAATACAAAATCGAGAGTAGGCCAGTGGAGGTGTGAGGGCTTCTTTACTCTGACGTTTTTAGTCACCTTGCTTATATTTATAGAAGTCAAAGATTAAGGACATAGTGTGTCCTTAATGCATAGACTATAGCCTTTATTCTCTTAGGAACATTGTCAGTCAGGTATTATTCTCTGCATTTTATAGTTGAGGAGAGTGAGACCTAGCTTCCTTCAAAGCCAGGATCCAGTGGTTGTGATGCATGCACCTAAGTGCTTCACTAACATAGATGGCTAGGGAAGCTGAGGCTTGAGCACCAGGTTGATCTCCATCAGCACTGACTTGATTAAAAGATGCTTGAAGACTGCAGCAAACCACTTCTACCTGCATTCTCTAGACTGCAATCCCTGATGTCACCACAGGCCAATTCTTGTTCAGTCAGTGCAGATAAAGACCAGAGGAAAATGAAAAACCTCTGTGGCTAGGAACCCTGAGATCACCACATTTCACAGTGACACAGTGGTCTGGACCACCATGGGACAGATAATGTGGCACAAAGCATGAGAAAAGGAAGCACAGGTCTTTGGACATAAATGTCTGACCATGACAACGTGTGTCGAATTTTACCTTCTTTATTCTGTTGTTCGAGTCGTGATAGAATCCCACCCATCCAGCCAGCTCAGGATCCCTTCCACTCCTATGTGGATTCTTAGCAAAATAGAGGCTTCCCAAACTTTGGGGAACATACTTTTAAGACTCCAGAAGTATGGGAATTTTTTAATAGAAGTACTCATGCATTATTTATCATGTATAGTTTTTAATTCTATAACTTCATCATAGAGGATATTTTTGATAAGAAGCACAGTGTTCCAGTCCACCGAGCCAGAAGACCTCTGATGGAATGCATTATACTTGGACATTTTTACAGGGATGACATGGTAACAGTAACCATAATCAAAGGCATCAAGCTGTTTAGACATTATCTTCTTTGACAAATGGCTATTGTTAGTCTTAATGCACCTCTCATAGGGAAAAGCAGTTGAATTCTTGGTAAGTTTAGGAACTTACCCCAAATTACCACTTCAATGCTGGAATATGAACCCAATTTCTGATTGCAGAGGCAGTCACATAGGAACTGCCTTTTAGCAAAACAAGGCAAAGATTGTACAAAATCTAGAACCCTGTGATCCTAAAATGCCTTACTTAGGTGATTTTGAAAAGGAAATCAATATAAACTATATAATCTCACATGCACCTTAATGAGCACAAACTGATTTTTACATTCATTTAACTACAAAGATTTATATAATCTCTGACACCTTTGCCTCATGACTGTGTTAAATGAGAAGGCTTGTGATATGGATGTGGGAATTGGCAGAGGAGTCATGGAAAGGTCTCTTTGTAAAACCTCTGCCTTTTGCAGTGTGTTCTTAGTGCAGACCGCAGGCCCATTAGGATGGACTGATGAGTTCTGATGTGGAAGGAACCTCATTGCTGCTGGTGGTTCTGAGGCAGAGCGGTCGCCTCTTCATTCTCTCTTATTTAGTGTTCTCAGCAGCCATGGCAATGGCACAAGCCCTGCTTCCCGCTGTCAGGTCTTGTAGGTAATGGTAGGTGCTCTTGTACTGTTCGCAGCTAGGAACAGTAACCTCAGGGTGATGATCTGATCAGAATTCTCCCAGCAGTGCAGACGTTCACCTGGGCTCTCCCTGTTTTGCTGCAGAGAGAGAGCTACTTTGACAACACTATCTCCTGAATCTTACCACTACAGAAAGATCACATATTAATTTTTCCCCTCCCCCATTTGTCTTGGGCAGCTGGGAGTCTTCAGTGAACCCGAGCCCAAACCTCTCTTGCCTTAATCACTAGCTTTTTATATCAAATAATAGTGCTATTGTCTTTTGCTTCATCCCAAGTCTCTAAATTCTACACCTGTTATACACAATGCCTCATCACTATTTCTGAATAGGACAACACAGTACTCTGCTTTTGATCAGCAGAAACTTGCTTGTTTCTCCCATTTATTAGATTAGGATCCTTTTATCTCTATGTCACCACAAACATAACTTGGCCAGCTAGTCCATTTCTAGCACTTGTAGGGCTGTGCATATTTAGATTTATATATCCCTACAAGACAAGGCAGTTGTTTTGTTTCTGTTTTTAGAGATAATTTTCATTTGTCTTTAAGCTGCAGTGGGCCCCAATGACAGAATACTATTTTTATGTCTCATTCACACAACCCATCCATTTTTATAGAAAGCAGACGGGAATCATTGGGCATATTTGACAGATAATAGCTTTCTTTATCAGTGTGTAGATCGTGTTCTTCATAGAGTCTGCTTACATGTCCTTATCAAAGCCTCAAAGCTGTGCGGTTTCATTATGCATTACATGTAACATAGGTGTCTTGTACCATTCCCCATGGAAATATGTGGTATGTATATATGTATGTTTCTGTATACACATAGGGGTCCCATTAATGATCAATCACCTAAGGGGAAGTGGGGGTTGCATAGAACTTCATTAGGCTGAGTGTGTTTCAAAACTGACCATCAAAATCAATTTCTAAATGGATCCATTCTTAAGAATGTACTTCTGGGAGCAGCTAAGTAGCTCCATTAAGCAAACCTAGACCCTAAGACCCAGACCTTTGATGGCCCTGACTTGGAGTGTGCTACCTGGAGCTAAATTATGGCATGATTGAACTAGATGTGTGGCCCAGTGAATGTCAAGCTCTAAGGAAAGATCTAAGGAACAAGAAGAGTGGGGCCCCTATCAAGGCAACAGGATGGTGTCGTCATCAAGTCTTTATCCTGAACCCCAGCTCACACTTTTGTCTTCTTTGTTTGTTTCTGTTCATTGAGCAGAATCTTAATTAACCCTGGGAACCACCTTAAGATCCAAGAAGGTACTTTAGGATTTTTCATCGCAAGTGATGCCAAAGAAGTTAAAAGGTAAGAGTTGATTTTTATCTGCTTTCTTTCTGGTCCAACCCCAGACACTTAGATCTACTGAGACCTGCATGCTTCATATGTCCAAGACTCTACCTCCAGAAGTAGTAATTGCTTCCTAGGGTGTCTTTTCCCACAGTCAGTTCCCTGTCTTTAAGTCAGAATACTAAAAATTTAGATCAGGAAGCATCGTTATCTGCCCCTTCATCTTACAAGGAAAGAAACTGAGGCCCAGAAAGCAGAAGTGACGTCAAGTCATTCTAAGTCTTCCTGTTCTGAAGGAGATGCACAGGACTTCTGGCCCCTGGCTGAGGTCATTTTCCTAATATCCTATGGGTAAATGTCCTTGCATATGTTCTGATGTAAATACCAAGAACTTCAAACAGTTTGGATTGATTTTTGGCGGAACATTAAAATGCCCCTATCTGTGCTCACAACTTTCTAAGCCCTGGCTAACGTTGTCAGCTTCAGTTAGGAAGCCTCTTTAGGTCTAGTATGAGGCTAGCACCAGGCTCCACGTTTCTTAAAATTTTTTATTAATGTCTTTATTCCTATTTGAGTAACTTAGGGAATCACAGGACTTTGCATATCAATTTAGACTTTTGTTTATATTTGATTTTATTCCACCAACTCCAGAACTTTTGCTTTCAGAAAATATGATATAATTAATTAAGAAAAGTTACTTAACTGAATAATTGTGTTACATATTTTAAATCAATACTTACTATGAGTGTCTTCAATTCTTTGTGGATGCCCATTGTCTTCTAATGAGTCCCCACTCAGCCGGACCTATGCGACGTGTGCCTATTCTTTATGCTAACCCTCAAAAATTACCCCAGAAATAGAAGTCAGTCTTCTAAAGTGCTCAGAACTCTGGCCTTCTTGTCTGTAAAAGGCCAGCACCTACTTACTCTGCACCACCGCTGCTCTGGGTACTAATAGGTTTCTTTGGGTTCATGACCTCACCCAGCCTTAGAGTTCCTTCTTTGTCTAGGAAGGAACTAAAACATGGCTTCATTGGCCAGCTTGTGCAAAGTCACTGTGCTAGTGAGACATAACAAGACATATTTGCAAAATCTCAAATATGCTAATATAGAACCCTGCTAATATTTGACAAAGTCAGGCTTATGATTTTCTACCCACTCAACTCTAGCAAGTGGGACTTTAAACAAGTTTTTAGACTATAGTTTAAAAGTTTCCAGGGAAAAGAGCCCTTAGAGTTGAGGGGTTTTTTTTGGTTTTTTTTTGTTGTTGTTGTTTTATTTTTTTGTTTTGTGGTTTTGTTTTTTGTTTTCTGGTTTTTATTTTTATTTTTTACTGATCTCTCCAGTAAGTTTACTTCTGCAAATTGGAAGTTGGAGAATGATTGGCATTGTTAAACCATGTAAGAGAGATCCATCTCTATCTGGTTCATGGGTAAAATACGCTGAGACAGGAGGCCATCAGAAATATCCTTAGATGGACGTTCAGGTGAGAAAGGAAATTGTCTGTGTGAGCCCCACCACCAGGGACTCTAGAATAGTTATGTCCTGGTCCAGATGTGAGACACGGAATTTTGAAGCAGAATCTCAGCTCCAAGCATGGTAGGCTGGGAGCACAGGCCACCATACATCATGCACACCTCCCAGACAGCAAATTCAACCTGGGCTCCCATTTGTGTGGTTCTATTTCCTACTGCATCTCTCACTAATGAGTGTCACAAACACCGAGCAGCTCAGGAAACGAATTACCACCTCTATTAAGGAATGTAATATGTCTTGTTCCCGTGCTTTATGGAATTCACAAATACATGCTGACACCATCAGCTACAACCCCAGCCTATAATTTCCATGGCGTGTGATCTGTCAGAGAAAATGCTGTCAGTTATGGCATTCCAAATAGATGAAGAGTACAGAAAGCTATAGAAAAGACATTGGAAATCTGAGTGAAACTGAACAAGTTGTGTAAAAAATGGAAAAGTAGATTATGATGGTCTCTTATGGGGTTTCACCCTCTGCTGTGGCTTCAAAAAAAAAAAAAGGCAAAACACCATGCATTGAGAGAAGTCTTGGTCATAGAAACTTGAGGTGCTAGCTTTAGACAAGGAGGAGTGAGCCCAGCTACTTCAATTAAGAGGTTACTCTGAGATAGGTACTTGGTCATTTTTTTTTTGGCTGTCCCTAAATATCCCCCCTTTTAAATAACTCAGGAACACAGTCCTGTGAGTCCCACTTTCTTTAGCAAATACATACTTTGTTTGAGTCATAATTAAAAATAATAGATTAGTTGCCAAGTGAAAAAAGTTATCAGCTATTATATTATATTATATTATATTATATATTATATCTACTTCTGGTTTCTTCTCAAAACATGGAATCCCCAAAATTGGGAAGCAATCTCAAATTGATTTATTCATTCACTCATCAAATATCTGCACATTGATTAATGTTTGGAAGGCTCCAGAGATCCTATTTGCTGTCCTGAGGCTCACAATCTATAGAGGAGAGAATTTTAGGTTCTTAAAAACTTTAAAATGAAAGAAGGATTTCACTAGGTGTCAGTGAAAGCTGCTCTTCCAGAAAGGTGGCATCTGAACAGAGATAGAAGTGAAGGGAAGGAGTCTTTCATATAAAGATCAGATGGGGAAGGACGATAACAGTGTGAAGTTTGTTGAGACAACGTGGGACAGCATGGCCGGGAGAGTACCAGAGGATGGAAGTGGGGAGCGATCAGAAGACAGGCTGCATCTGGTTCTTTGGGCACTTACAAAGAGAATGGCTTTATCATGGAATGAAGCATATTGATGCATGGGATCAGAACTATATTCTCAAAGATCCTTGCCTGTGATGGGGCAGGAGAGGAGGCAAGATATTCAGCGAGCATCAAATAGTGTAGGGGGATGCTGGCAGCTTGTGCAGGAGGAGACTCCTATTTGGAGCACTCTGGGGAGCCTGTAGTGCATACTCATGAACTGCATAGAAGTGAGGGAGGAGGAAGAATCAAGGCTTAGGCCTAGGTTTGGGGCAATGAGCGATGGTGACAATGATATCTTGCTGAGATGAGAAAAACTAGGAGAAGATGGGGCGGTAGGAACTGAGGAATTCTGTCTGGGCTATGGTGAATGGAAGATCGGTCCTAAACATACCATAAAGTTGTCATAAAGGCTGGTGATAGCTACTTTCAGCCTGAAACTGCAGGGACCAGGGGAAGAAGGGGGAAGTTTGAGGGGGAGTGATGACCACTTAGTGGGAGCTTTGCCCTCCGGTGGGGAAATGTTTTTGTTACTATCCCACAACCCTCCAGAGAGCATACTCAATCTTTCTCACTTTCAGTTGCTCTCAGGCTCTTGCCTTTAGCCAGTCCCACAGAGCAACCGAGGACAAGGAGACCCTAAAGCCAACCTAGCAGGAGGTGGAGGCGGGGTCTTTTGGCTGGTGTGTGAACTGGGGAAGAAGGGGATGGTAGTTGCTTTGGAGTGAGAAGGCAAGCATCAGGAAAATAGAGAAGCCACCAGGAGTGGGGAAAGGCTCTTGGAAGCCATAGTCAGGGTTTTAAACTAAGACCAGTGGGGTTCTGTTCTCCGGATCACTGAGATTGCAGGGTCAAGTGCATAGTTGTAACAAAGGACATTGCCAAGAGAATGCAATGGGGGCTTTTCTGGGTGGTGTAGATTCTAAAGAACTGCCACTTAGCAAAAATTAACTTGTAGTTTAAAGAATCTGCCTCCTTCATCTGCAGCAGATGTCTTCTTGTGACCATGGACACCATTAGCCCTTTATCTGCCTCATTAACCGCATCTGTCTGACTGTAGCACCTGCTTCGCTAAGTGAAAGAAGCCAAGCACAGAAGGACAAACTTTGCACAATCTCACTTATATGTGAAACCTTAAAAAGTCAAGGCCATGTAAGCATAGGGTAGAATCGTGGTTACTAGAAGCTGGGGCAGGGACATCTGGGGAACAAGGGTCAAGGGACATAAAATATTAATTTAAATGAAAGAATAAATGCAAGCAATCATTGCAAAGTGCCAAGAACATAGTTGGTTCAAAATAAGTTATTTTTTGCATTTGCTTATTTATTTGTGTTGAATAGATGTGAGAAATTATTCACCTCGAAGGAAGGTGAGAGAACAACTTTGCTCCTTCTACCACATGGGACGCAGGATCAACTCCAGCTGTCAGGGAGCAGGTGCTGTTACCTGCTGAGCCCTCTCCCTGACCCACAGCTTGATGTTGTTAAAACAGTGTGTTGTATTCATGAAAATTTCTTTTAACAATTTTTCTCTTGGGGTAGATGTTAAATGTTCTCATTCCACATACAAAGTAACAAGTAGATGAAAGCCTGTGTGTTGGTTTGCTTGGTTTCTCCATAACATAGATCACAAATACATAGCTTTTCTCAGTTAAAAACAAAATGTTTACAGGCTAGGGAGATGACTCAGCAGGTAAGAGCACTGGCTGCTCTTTCAAAGGTCCTGAGTTCAATGCTCAGCAGCCACATGGTAGCTCACAACCATCTATAGTAGGATCTGATAGCCTCTTCTGGTGTGTAGGCATACATGCAGATAGAGTACTCATATACATAAAATAAATAATTAAATAAATCTTTAAAGATGTTTAATATAAAGAACTGGGCTTTTTTTTTTATTTGGCTCATCTCTCCATCTCTTGAGAGAAACATGTTTAAGACTTTCGGCTCCTGGACTTGAATCCAGACTCTGCCACTTTGTGGTGTGACCTTGAGCAGGCCACTTAATTGCTACTCACCTCAGTTTCCTTATCTGTAACCAAGCTTCCTTTAAAAAGGGTTGTTGAAGATCAGATATATTAATGTTTTTACATGCTTAGAGCAGCCCGGCCTATGGTTTTTTAGCTGTTATTACTGCTGCATTGCTGTTATCCACGAGAGCATCTAAGGGGTCCTAAAATGGCCAGAGGAAGTGGTTGGGAACTCACTTGCCCCAAGTAAATGGATGCCTCTTCTTGTCCCTTTTGTTTCAAGGCAGCCCACCATCCATTCATTTCCTACCCACAATGCTTTGCAGGGCAGACAGCTGCTTTTTCTGTTTTTGCAAAGGAGATGACGCCTGACATTTAAAGAAACGGTGAAGGAGCCCCTTGAGTTGAAAGAGCATTGGACTTGATGTAGAAATGTACACACTGTGGAAAACTTAAAAGAACCTAGGAACTGTGTTTATTTCTTTGGCCTCCGTCGACAAATGGCTCTGTTTATTCCTGGCACCCAATTTCATGTTGGGAGTGGTAAAGGCATTAAGCCCAGGGTTTTGTTAGTTCCTGAATCCAGAGGGTTGAGAGTTCGTTCCAGTAAACTTTATTACCTCCCCAGTGCAGATGCTTCTCTACTTATGATGGAGTGACACCCCAGTAAACCATCATAATTTGAAAAGAACTTAAGCTAAAAATGCATGTAACCTACTGAACATCACACCTTAGCCCAGATTGCCTAATGTGCTAGAGCCCTGAACATTAATGCACAGTTGGGCAGAGCCATCTAACAAAGCCTATTTAATAGATTTGCCAAAGTTGACCATCTCCTGCCACTTAGAGATGCCTGTGCTGAAAATCCTGAGTGGCTGAACGGCCATGCCTCTGCACCAGCTCAATCTGGAAGGGCTCAGCCACCCACCCAGGTCCCCATGTTAATTTCTCTGGATGCTGATGTTAAGTAGTTTCCAGATCATCTTAGTTCTTCTCATTGAAACTAACTTTGGCACAGCCAGTTCACTTTGGGGTCCCAGATTGGCACGTAAGTCAGATTAGGGGACTTTGTTGTTATTATTGATGGCTCCTCCTTATGGCTCATTCTGCCCATCATTCCCCTCCTCATCCCATTCCAGTGGTCAGCTGATTCCCACTCCAGAGAGAGAGAGAGAGAGAGAGAGAGTCTTTTATTTATTATCTGTGCTCCCTCGCCAGCTTTGGGGTGGAATGGGCTTTGATTTCCAGGAGAGAGTCTGAGGGGAACCACTGGAATCTTTCTGTGCCCCTCCTCCAGTAACTCTCAGTCCTCTCTGCCTTTGGTCAGTGAGGAAAGGTGCTTGTAAAGTGGCAAAGGTGACATTTAGGTTTGACCAAGGCCCGTCATCCTTGCGCCCCTTTAACATGTATTCGAGTAAGCTGTGGGGATTTAGAATTGCTTTTAATGTATACTCCAAAGACTTGGGGCTATTACCCATGTGTTCCAAGGACCAGTGTTCTCAGAAATTACAGTCACAAGCTTAGTGTATCACACCAGCAAGACCTTTCTCTCGGTTCTTTTGAAAATAAAAGTTTATAAAAAGAAGCACCAACTCGAATCACAGAATGCTGGGTTTGAAGTGAATGGTCTTACAACAAACATTTCCGTCTGCAAATGTCTAAACTTCTCAAAAGATAAAAGGAAATTAGGCCTGGCATGTTTCATTAATTTGGCACCACCTCAGGGGACACGTGGTACTCATTTTACTTGGGTGGATTATGAGATGTGTCAGTTTTTCCGTTCTCTTTCTCCAGGGCATTTTTTTACTGCAAGGCCTGTCATGATGACGTCACAGATCCCAAAAGAATTAAAAAATGCGGCTGCAGGCGGCGTAAGTAGTGTTTCTTTCTCCCCTCCCTTGTGCTCTCCTTCCTCATCCCCAAATTCCTTTCCCTTCTCCTTTTCCTATAGAGGAACATTAAATACCAAGTGTTCTCTTGAATGTGTTTGGATATTTCTCCCAACCATTTAATGAAACATGAAACAGATACCAGCCCTTGCTTAGAGCAAAAGATGAAAAAGAAATCACAGTTGGTGCCCAGGCAAGAGGCTAGTACCTCCTAGTACTTTTCTAGAAGTAGACATGTCTGGCCCACAGTTAAACATCGTGGATGAAATGGAGGCTACCTACAGCTTTGGTGGAAGGAACGTTTTTATATCGTGATTACAGTAGATGAGGGAGGATTTCCTAAGTTAAGAGACTATGTGTAGTCCTAGAAGGAAAGCAAGTCCCAGAACCCACTCTCCAAATAAAAGGAATAGACTGTCTTTCAATTGGGATTCTTGTAGGTTCAGACTTAGATCACCCCAGGGCAAAAGTACTGCTCCCAACAAGGCTACCAGTCACCGATGCCTACAGGCCATCCCATAGTGCTTTGCTTTATGGGGTGGACTAGACTGGGCTCAGAAGCTTGCAGCATAGACAATCCCAGTTGTCTTCTACCCCAGCTTTCCTCTGCACTCTCAGTGGTGACTCGGAACACAGCTTATGAGCTCCACTGACGTCATGCTGTGAAATAGTCCTTGCTTTGGGGAGGCCCAACCTTTTGCAGCAATTAGACTGCACAGCCCAGTAGAGATTGTTATGAACCCTAGAAGAAAATCAATGCAAGGCTGCCTTCCCTTTGATGGTTCGAAAAGCTCCTCGTGTTTGCTTTGATCCTCACCATGACCCCGTATAACTGGCTGGGCTTTATTTAATCCAGTTAAAGCAACAATGACCCTTCCTTATTTAGTGAGACAATGGAATTTCTGATAATCATACAACGAACATTCATAGATTCCAGTCCCCTGAGGTCTGCCTGAGTCCTGTGGTTTCAGTGCCCTGATCTTTCTTACAGGAGGAAGGATATCCTTGGGCTAAATGAATTGGAAGAGAGTTATAAAAAAACAAAAAAACCCTCTCATAAAATATCATTTTACAAGAAGCTAGTCAAAAGGCCACCATTCCTGGGCTATGCCACCCCAAGGGTCTTGCCATTGTGCTGCTTGAAGGGGACGTGTTAACCGATAAGACTTAAGATGATACTGCCTGAGCATCAATACACTGGTCTTCTGGGAAGCACCTATGGGCAGTACTCGGTCTAGAGACATTTCTGTAGAAATCTTCTCGGACTCCTTTCCACACACCAGTTTAGGCCAGCTTTTTAGCATCCATGATTTGTGTTTCCAAACTCTGTCACTATGCCTATACCCAGAAGGATTTCCTGATTCTCTCAACCCCCAAGGAAGAGCATCTGAGTGAGTCAAAGATGAAGAAAAAAGGTCATTATCAGGTTAGCCCCCGGGCTCCAGGACTCATTCCCGCTTCTCATCAGGTGCCTGGGAACTTAGCCATGCAGCAGGCATCCTCAGAATCATTTCCATCAGAAGAAACAGGCCATCCTGAGGCTAGATGCAGGCAAGAAATCACTAGAGCAAGAGGGTGAACTCAGTAAGGAAACTCTCATAGTGGCGATGGGGACAAAATGAATGGGAGAATGTTGAGGCCAATAATCCATTGCAAGGGTATTTTTATAAGCAAACCCATCCCTTGGGAGCCTTAGTAAGGCTCTGGCGTACTAGATGAGCATCCATTCATGTGCTTTTGTGTAACCTCTTCATGCATGGTCTCTTCTTGGTGCCTGTGGTGGAATGGTGAATGAGATCCCTTCCAAACCTTCTGTCAGGCAAAGAGACAAACCCATGCCATGTTGAGAGATATATAAATTCATAGAGACCCACATGCTAAGACAAGAGAGAAGACAATTTGAGGATGCCAGGGCTCTTATAGGAAGGCTACTACTTCATAGCTTGACTGGTCCTTTGGAAGGTGATAGTGGAGTTGAAACATGGGTGGGAAGAAGAGCAAGAGACTAGAATCAAAAGCAAGAAGCCATTTGCAGTGTTTAGAGGATGGGTGGAGGGCCTTTGGGGTCTGTGGCATCTGGAGAGAGAGGTCCAAAGTGAGATCATACTAGAAAGCAGAGATGGTGCTGAGAAGCTAGATTTTAGTCCTGTGCCCAAATCTACCAGGTGATTTTGGGAAAGGAAATGACATCATCAGGTCTCAGCTGAAAAGATTTCCTTTGCATCTGAATGGGGGATTTACTCTGGAAGGCAGAATGGAAAAGGCAAGATGAGGAAAGAACTTCTCTGATTCACTCTCTGTGAAATTAGAGTGTCTCCGATAGGACCCCTTAATATATTATTATGGCATGCCCCTTTTAAAGTTCTTACAAGTAAGGATTTAACTTCTAAGGTATTTTTCTCCATCTCTGCTCCAGGCAAGCAAACAACAGTAAACTTTTAGCTCCATACTCTTGTGAAAAGCACACTGTTATTTACAATCACTCCATTCCCCTCATTTCCATTCCATAAACTAAGCTAGTGAGTGTATAATCTCTTACCATGTACAACATCATTGCTGCAAAAGGATGGCCTCCTCCAAGCTGCTCTTAAGAGTGTCAAGGTTATGGAATGAGTGGTTAATATTTGATAATAATCAGAATTGTCCAGATGTTGTTATTCCCAATTAAAAGGTCATACCCTGGAGGACAGGATGCAGATATGTCTGGGAGGATTACAATAAAATGAATAATTGAATATAAACCTTCTCATGAAGGTCAGGAATTGGAGAAATTGGAGAAGATATGTTTGGCTGTGAAGAAACCTTCATGAGAAGTAGTTAGCATTGTTAGTAGCATATGGTCATAACAAATATAGCAAAACTGGAAAGGACAGTTGTTCCACCCTGTTATTTATCCAAACCTGTTAGTGCAGCAATTAATAATTCACCATAAAATGATATAGCTGTGAGCACAAAGCTAATAACAGCCCCCAGAATTTGTGTATATTTCTTACCCATCTGTCCCTACCCCTTTTCTCCTTCCCAGTCTCTCCCTTACCCTTTTCATTCCTCTTCATTCAGTAACCTCCAATGTTTCGTGTCCTCTCTGGGAGAAGTCCAGCACATGGTTATTCCATCTGTGGAGATCCCATCGTGGTAGTCTAGTTTAACGTGTGCGTTTCTTTCCATTTCCTCATAGCTCTCCATCCATCCAGGAAGCGAGTCCAATTCAGATGTCTAGCCAAGGAGAAGGCTCTCAGACTTTGCCATTGACTCATTTTCTTTTTCTGTGCCACAAACCTGGTCTAATGATTTACACTTCCCTCCCAGCCTCTGAAAAGTTGCCAAGGGTACTCTCTTAAGAGACAAGTCATGTTTAGATTGATGTGTGTGAAGAAATTTTCTTTAATTTCTAATCATTGACATGTCTTTGATTTATTTTGTTTCCTCTTTGCTGCCTTGGAATACGACCCCCACTCTATCTTAACTGCACCCTGGTAGTGATCTATTGTGAGTAAAGTGCGCTCCCCGCAGCCCAGAGTCCAGTTTTCCTGCTCTTTCTCTAGATGAGATACTTTTTTCTGTACAATTTCAGTTTCGTTTTATTTTTGGTATTCATGTTGCATGTAACAGTTACATCATGCCCCGACTCGCTCATGCCCCAACACAGTCCTTGTAGAGTAGCCAGGAGCTGGAGAGTGCCCAGAGCCCACTCTCCATGCATCCGTTCATTCCCCAGCCTCCAGCAAGCTCTGGACATGGTCTTATTTTTTCCATTCGAAAATAAGACCTTGACAACAGTGTGTTTCTCTTGAAGGCCTCACCTCAGGACTTTTAAGGGACACGGATTAGGCTGGAGTAACTACCACTCTATCTTTAGATGCTTTGTCCATCGGGGATCATGGTCATGCTTGCCTTTGATAAACTATACTTGTTTTCCCCTGCTATGGAGCTTGAATTCCCCTCCTGGAGGAAAAACATAGGCTACATATATATTCCTGAGTTGTGATATATATGATATGCACCAGTAGTTTATATGTAAAAATGCATATTTTTATATATAATCATAGGGAGATTCCATAGAGAGAGGAATGTGTTGATCATATTATATGTGCCTCTCTGTACAAGAAGGTGCTTGCTGGATATTTAATTGAGTACTCCTTTGGGACTCTAAGTATCTGCCTTTCTGGAGACAAGTGGTCATTATTTCCTACAGTCTATGAAGTTGCCTTGCTTTTAAGTACAACTTCTCCTTTAGTTATCACCCACTAGTTCCTCCACAGTTCCTCCGTGAATGTTAGGCATCTGGAGGATCAATGTGCTTATTTGAAGGAAAAACATTGGTTAACTAAGGGAGAATGCTCCTTTTCATGAATGAGCCATGTAGGAATCTAAACGAGTCAATACAAGTCTTTAGACCTCTCTAACTTACTCAAGGCATAGGATTCCATTTATCCAACCAGATGTAATTTTTAAGGCCAGTATTTCTATGTGTGACCTACAGCTGTAATGCTAGCTATCATGGGCACTAGCCGTCAGCATTGGGTCTTGACTTCCAGACATAAGACTCTATGGAAAGAGAAAGGAGACCCAGTCTGCAACTCATTGCGTTCATTGGCTCTGGAATGTGGAGGTGTTTCAGCACTGGACCTCTCATGTTCCTTTGCAGAAGAACAAGAAGAAGCAAGTTGACCGCTTGAGTTCTGATAGTCTTCATGTGTGCAAAGTCTCTGATGTTCTGTGTAGTACCAAACCAAAATAATGATCTTCTTCAGTGCGACACACAGTTCGGTCCATGTTGGCTCTGTGGAATGTATGTGGACGTGTTGCTTCTGCACCCCCAGATTTCCATGCTCTAGCAGTCTTTGAGAACTAGAGGGCTACAAAATGGCAGTCAACAAACAACTCCATTGGCAAAGTCTCCCACCTTTCCCAGCTCCAGGGTGATTGGTGCGAGTCAGATCAACTAGCTGGGTGTGTGCTCAGGGTTGCTGACTTTAATCTTTGCCTTTCCCTCCTTCCCGATCATGGAAAGCCATGTGTAAGACCTTCTTCTTCTCCAGAAGGTAACGGGAAGAACTGTGTTAAGTGAAGACATCATTTCTTATTTATAGAATATGAAAGAACCTCTGCTTCCTAGCATTATATATAATGATGTACCTCAAACAAAAACCTCAGTGGGCTTTTCTTCTGTAGAGGGTTTGCTTATAACTTTGGTAGCTACTGAGCCCTAGAAGAATAGCTGTAAAGTCATGCTAAGAAATAATGCTTCCTTCCGTGGGCTGATTTGAAAAGTGAGGCCATGATCTGAGAAGTGTACCTTAATTTAATGGCATTTTTTTTCGTTTGCACTAGTATCCTCTTACATTTGCTCCTTTGGAAACCTAAATGAGCTTTCCCTCTAGCAGCTGTAAACCTCCACCTGGGCCTCTTGGGCAAGGCTGCTTTTCCTCTCCCTTCCAATCCACCCCAGAAATTAAGATTGTGCAATTGCAACCTGGCTGGCCATTTGGTTGCTGATGCTGGAGGCAGATGGTACCGCAGACAGAATAGGCTGAAACCCTTCCTTCCATTCCAGACTTGGCTCAGAAAGGCCAACCAGCAGAGGACCTGAGGCCTGGCACCTGATCATATTAAATGTGTCTCAAGGAAAAAGAAATGAGCGGGCTACATCTGCAGCAGGTTTAATTTCTCACCATCCCAACCTTTGAAAGTAGAAGGAAAGTTTTGCAAGAGTGTGTCTGAGAAAGCTTTCCATTTTAAACACTCAAAAGTAAACAGAGAGCTTTGATGATGTCCATTAGGGAAGTACTCCTATTTTGTCCCTATAAATACTACTAGGAAGTCATAATGGAAATAGTGGATGAATATCCATTTTATTGTGGTGAAGAAAAGCACATAAAAGCTTTCTTCTGAAGTGATGAAGCTTTTCAAACATAGATTTTTGTTCTGTTTTAGCGGAAGGTGAGAACCCAAATCAGATTGTTGGCACTGACATGACCCCTTCAAATCATTGATACTGGTCCAAGAACAAGAACATTTTGTGGGCCAAAGAGAAAACAAAGTCCCGAGGGGCTTATATTTCTTCTTTCCCAGAGTTAAGTTGGCCTATGGGTACAATTCGTAAAACATAAACTTGTTCCCAGAGCCCTAAGACAAAGTGACAAGTACCTGCTGAGACACACTCTTGTCTAGTCCCTTTTGGGAAGCTGCAGTATATCTGCCAGTGCAGTATAAAACCAGGGTGCTTGCAAGTTACTTCTATTGACTGCTCCTAGGAGCCGCTCCTAGGAGGTTTCATCTCTCTGTCCTCACTGCCCCAGAACATCATAGATGAGAGGCTGCCCTTGAATTGAAGTGGCTCCACATAGGTTTCAGTTCTTAGAGACTGCAAAACCCTCTTCTCTGAGGAAAAGAGCAAGTTCTGCTTCAGGCCATTAGCAAGCTGCTGTCCTACAGCCAGCTACCACTAGATGTCCTCATAAACCTACTTTGCTTTGCCTTCACCATCTACTTAAAATCTTTTCTCTGGTGATAGGGAAGAGCCCTGGATGGCTACTAAAAAAGGAACTCAGCACACACCAATGGAGAGGAGACATTTATTTACGGCCAGGAGTAGATGAGAAACTTTTTTTTGTTTGTTTTAAATAGATACTGAAATGTTCCATGTACGTCTGTGAAACTCAACTTTGTGGGGGTTAAGTCTCTCTCTGATATATGAAATAAATCCTCTAGCCCACATTGACTATAGAAAAGAAAAAGTTACCAAGAAGATTCTGAGAGTCTAGAATTTATTGAAACCATAATGAAGGGTTAGGAAGCCATAGGATTGAGGAAGGTGATGGAGAAGTAATGCCCACGTTAGAAAGTCTGTAATATGGGACCTACGTGACTTTATTTTAGAACCCAAGAATAGAATGCCCACATTTTCTAGAACACCTACCACGTGGGAGGCAAATCTTCAGGTCTTCATTGCTGATCTTGACCACGAATAAAAGTGGACCAGAAGAAATCTCAAAACTGTGCATACATGCATCATGCCTGACGGTCACTCCACCAGATGGAGGGTCAGAATTGCCCTTCCCTTCTTAGACAGTAAACCTAGAAGGACATAGGTGACAACACACCTGACTGGGGTGGCAGACAAGGAGGCACACTCTTAACTGGTCACCTTCACCCTAGACGTCGTGGCACGGAAGGTTTGTCAGTATGTGGGGCTCAATCATTTTTAACTGTTTGTGTCTTGTCCCTGAGCCTCATGTTGATCACTCTTGGTGTGTGTGTGTGTTTGTGTGTGTGTGTGTGGTCTTTGTCCTTTGAAATTTCTCTTTTGCATTTGGCGTGAGCGTAAAATGGCCGGGAAGGAGTGATGAGTACTGGCATGTTTTCTGTTTTATGCATATGCCGCTTTGGAATGTGACTGCTTATAATTAACAGTTAATCTTCTTATAGCGAACGGGTTTCTGCTGCCTCGGTTACCAGTTGCAGCCTGTTACTGCATGCTAACAATACAAAATTTTACAACAATGCATGGTCTCCAGGACAGCCAACCGTGTCAGTTGCAAACAGTCCCTGAGAGTCACTGGTTTGATCTTATTCTCCCTCCCAGAGCCTTCTGATGTGGGAGGTCTCCACTGCCCATTGTGATAGGGTGACCACTGTGGGAAAAAATGATTCAGAAGTTACCTATTCTCCCCTCCTCATATATATATATATATATATATATATATATATATATATATATATCGTTCTTTCCCTATAAATGTGTCACGTTCTATTACCATGCATGAACCCGAAATGGCAGTATGAAAATGAAAACCAGGGACTGTTGCTAATGAGAAACATAGCATTTCTGAGTTTGATGGGATTCTCTGCTACAGTATTTGATTTAAAAAAAAAACAAGTTTTAAAATAATTTGAAACTACAGTGAAACAAACAAAAGCAGAAAAGAAACTATCTTCATCATCCTCTTCGTCGCAAGTAACAAGTCAATATGTCCAGTTGAAGCGTTAGGATAGAGAAACCAAGAGACTGATTTTCCAGGTGGTAGACCAGATCTGGATATGGTTCGGCTAAGTTTATTTTTATGTCTTCCATTGAAGACTCTCTTCTGCCTTTCTTGACTCAGCCACTGCTGTTGATCAGGGTGGCCTGGACATTGGCAGCACGCCTTGTGACTTCCTCTGACTCAAATGCTATAGCAGATGCGTATTTTTATTTTTTGGTAAAAGCAAAACTCAAGAGAATGATATTCTGAGAGTTGAACAGGGCTGGGGTTGCATGTTAATCCAAACAATGGGCTTAGTTAGGATGCTAAAGGACCGTGCACTGGGGATGTGAGCCTACTCAAAAGAGTGGAGTTGCTGCTGGAGGTCTCGCGTTCATCTTCCCCAGTGCCTGCTCTTCACAGTCATAACGTTCCCCTCACTTGACAAGCCCACTGTATGGAAAGTCATGAAGGTCTTAGAACAGGGCTTGACCCACTAGAGATTTAAACCCATTCCTGGTGACTGTAACATTCAAAGAAAGCAAAGCCACAAGCTATATTTTAGAGTAAGAGGGCAACCATTCTCTACAAAGGAAAATACAGAGGGATAATGTGACTTCCCACATGGAAGGGGTGGGTGTGGAGATAACACGTTTCCAGCCCAAGTTCAGTGTTTGCTGGTTGGAAGATGAGTTCTTCTACCCTGTGAGAAGAGCCTGCTAAGTGACCAGCAAGCATGTTTGCCTATTGTAGCAGCAAAATGAGATACAGAATTCTGTCTTGTGCTGCAGTATAAATTGACCAGAAGGGTAAAAGGTAAAGGCATTGAAAATGATAGAGATATCAACAAGCTTTGCGTGACTGTATTACAGGTGACTTCTGGATCAGTACCAAACTACGCTACACTTAAAAGCGTACCACACTGCGTTAGCCTTAAAAGAACCATTCAAGGTCCCTAAAATGCCAGAAAGATAGTTCATAAGGCAAAGATTTCATGTTATTTTACTATATTTTGGCCAGTATTTTCTAAGTAAGGAAAAATATGATTAAGGCACCTAATTCCCTTCTGATTTTCTGGTGGGCAGGAAGAGAGAGGCAGCGCTCACAATAAATACACCCATGAGTAGCTAAAAGCCTTCCAGAGACTAACATTTCATATTGCTCTGGGTGATTGTTTTTATTTGTGAACTTCCTTTTATGTCAAATATGCAGCGTTAGCCTTGAGTAGCGGCATTTCTTATATGGACAGATTTGGATATTTGTTCTGTCAAGGGGAAATTTAAATTCCTGTAGCTATCATGTAAACTCACTCCTGGGGAGTTCGGCAAAAGCGTCCTCAGGTCTGATATTAACATGTAATCGTTTCACATTTAATTTGATGGAAGCTTGTCCCAGGTTCTGCTTAATGCCCAGAAATGGATGAAAATGAGAAAGCCTATATATTAGATATATTTGCATCCTGCAAAAAACCATTTATTGTACCAAATAAGCAAGTCATTTAACTGATTGGCTGTGTGTCTCTTTTGCCCTCCTGCATTAATTGTGCCAGGGGGAGAATGGTGGTTCATTTTTACTGTCTATAATTTGCACTTTTTTTTCCATCCAAGAAGTGGGATGTGTTCAGCCATGCCTTCTTCCTGTGGTCACCACTCCATTGAGGGGACAAAAATAATATGCAACAACCTTGGGGGACAATAAAGGCAATTTATATTTTCAATGTTTTTTTTTTTTATGTACAACCAAACTGTCACCAACAGTCACTGCATTTTTTTCTGGGTCAAGACTGTTAACGTGAACTAAGACCTGTGTTCAATTCTACAGTGCCCTTCCAGCTGCTTTGCTGTATGTGACCTTGCCATTAACTGCCGCTCTTCCTCTCCTCCCATCCAACCACATGGTTATAGCCAAGATGTCCATCTACAAGAGAATGAGACGAGCATGTTGTTTTGATTGCGGACGTTCTGAGCGTGACTGCTCATGCATGTCAGGCCGTGTGCGTGGTAACGTGGACACCCCTGAGAGAGCCTTCCCGCTTTCTTCTGTCTCTGTTAATGATTGCTCCGCCAGTTTCCGTGCCTGTAAGTTTAACCTCAACACCACAGTTCCCTGTCTGTGCTCGTCTGTGATATCAGCCCTGTCTTGTGTTGTGCCCTGTGGTCCTGTGAGTCCACTGAGTTTGTGTTGCCTTCCTAATATGGTCTCGTGTGTGGTGATATGTTGCCTGTGTCTCTGTGTATATGATGAAAGGGCTTTCCTTTATGACCTTTTCTGTGCTTCCTGTGATCGTGAACAAGGCTGGCACTTGACAGCCTGCTGATAGACTTCCTCTCTCTTGTCTCAGTAAGTGAAAAGGAAAAGGAACGTGACAGGAGAGCAATCACTATCTTAATAGAGGATTTGTGAAAATGTGGGTCTTCGGATGTTAAGGTGACTATTAAAGTGGGAATAGATCAAAAGGATAGAGGAGAAGGAATAGTGAGAAAAAACGTTCTAGCATTTCAAAATACAAAAGCTACAACAGCATCTAGATGCAGATGTTTGCTCATATATATATGTATATATATGCTCATGTATATATGTAAATATATATGCATATACACACAATTTTGTTTTGCGTACTTGTTACTAGAGTCTCATTCCTTCGTAGCTGATGCTATCCTCAGCTCTTGAAGAGAATATTTATTTTTGAATCTGCCCCTCCATACACTGGCAGTCTCTACAGCTGCCTTTCAAAGATTTGACTTTGAAGGAGGCTCCAGAGACACTCATTAACATTTTAGATTGCCCCAACAATTTAGGCCCACTCAGCCAAGGTATTGTGTAGCAATCATGAATCTAAATAAGAAAGATTTAAATCCTGAATCTCCGGGATTTTCTTTGCTATATAGCTCAGATCTTTGTCACTGCCAAGCTTGTCCCCTTGAAAGAAGCTGTAAGCGTCACGCAGTTGACAGCTGTTGAGTCTGATGAACCAAATTCCCGAGTCACCCTCCTCTGTGTTTTCATTGGTGCATAATGTGTTGGTTTGAAATGCTATGGGTGTACATCCTTGTCCACTGAGAAGAGCTTGAGTTCTGCATGAGGACTTGGATGCTCTTGAGATATAACCATGACCAAGAGTTCTTCCTTTGGTAGTAGAGGAAGTGGGACAGGTGCTTTACCCATCTTTCTGTGCTTTACCCATATCTCCTTAAAGAAGACAACACACTCTTGGTGCTGCGTTGACATCTTACCCACTATCTCTTCTCCTCAATAATCAAAATCGGTTGAACTTTTCTGTTCCTTGTGGACGTTCACACCCATCACAAGAAAGAAGGGAAACATTTAGTTTTCGGACATTTGATCCCATGGTAAATACACATGAATGAATCATCATTGTCTGTGTTGAAGATAGTCCTTACACAGTACACTTGTGAATATCTAGCGAGAGAGAGCCACAACTCTACTGTATAGAGAGGGTGCTAAGTCATGCCAGGGGCTGATGTTCAAAGCTGTGGTTCATATTTGAAGTCTGTAAGCAGTATGTTGAGCTATTGAAGACATTCAGAAGCCTGATCTGAGGTCAGTGAGCCAGGAGTGCTGATGGACCAGACTGATTTAAAAGTGATACTTAATGGGGTTTTATTGAGAGACATTATAGACTGTATAGACTGTACCAAACATTTTGACCTGATTTTTTTTTGCTTTTTTTTTTATTTTGTTCTCGTGGATGATCAATACAAGTCCATATGCCTTATTTTGCCTGCAGGAATTTTTTTCTCATTCATATGCTATGTAGCCTAGGTAACCCAGGTCACAACTGCATAAAGAATTTGTCTGTGATGTGTAGCAGGGCATCATATTCAATGAGAAGCTGGTTAGGAAGACAATGGAGTAAGCCATGGTGGCACCACTGGCCAGATCCCTTTGATTGGCAGGGGTAGATGTGATTGCCAACCCTCTTCAACCTAAGGCACAATTTCTTCTTTTCTCAAAACCACCACACTCCAAAACCTTGGCCACAGATTTGGTGGAAAAAAACCTGAAGAGCCAGTTTGGCTCTGGGCTAGGGTCCTGTGGTCATGTCTTGGCGCACTGGCCCTCTGTTCCAATCACAGTAAAAACTATGTCCCCATGTGAGGCTCATGGTGTCCATTGTGTGCAATTTCCATTTTATTTGAGAAAAACCATAATTGCAGGGATTTCTCAGTTCTGCAATTCAATCCTGGCATCAGTGGAGGCCGAGGGAAAAAAATCTTGGGGTAAGATTGTCCCATCCTCTGAGAACTCCCCTGTTCATATTGTCATCCTTCTGCCCCTCCATCGCCAGCCCCCACTGTGAAGGACAGCAGGCTTCATGCCTTGAGTGGTATTGACAGCTCTGGGGGTGGCTCGCTGGCTCTGTTTCGTCATCCTCACTTCATCACACAAAGGAGGATTTCATCCATCCCTGTGTGAGACCACTCACCTTTGACCACTAATAATAAACTAGAAAAATCCATTCCAAGTTGAACTCTTTTATAGGCCTATGTCAGCGGTTCTCCTCCAATTAAAAAAAGGAGAACAAAAACACAAAACAAATAAAATAAAAAAAAACCCTCCGTCTCTGCTGAACCTCTGGCAGTGTGCCACAGCGATCCGGGCACCCCACGCGGGTGGTGGGTTGGGTAGTGCTCCCTTGACAGAGTGAATTGACTCTGAGAGCAGTGGTGAGAGTGGGCTTTTCATTAAATATGAGCAGACGTGAAACGGAGAGGGTTTGACGATTAGAAATGGCAGGAGAAGGGCCCTGGAATCAAAGTGAGGTCAGATGAGCAGGTCAGATTACTTCTCTTACATTCTTTAGTTGTTCTGAAGATCATTTTGAATTAGTGTCAGCAGAACCATGATGGATTTTGCCCTTTGTCTTTTATACCGGGGCTGTATTGTTTCCCAAGACACTCATTAAAGGTCATTACACTATTACAGGCTTGCTTTGGTCGCCGGTTTCCAGTTGAGCCAGTAGTACTTAGGAGACTGCCTAATTCGTTCCTCTCTTGCCTTGTCTTTCCTTCCCTCTGTGCTTTTTTTTTTCCTTATAAAGGAAAGGATTTCCATTTTTTAAGGGACTTTAAATTGAAACACAAAGCCCCATTACATGTTTTCTGAAGTGGGAAGGGAAGTAGCTAGTTCCCAGAGGTGGTAATGTATTAAAAGTGTTCAGAGGGTTTTAAAGACCTCTCTTCTAACTGCTGTTTGACACTCCTCTCCTTGGAGGCGTGGCCCATGATCAGTCCTTGTTAAGGCTGGTGCTAGGAGGCCATTTGTCTTCTATTGTACTCACAAGGAGATGGGAGGACAAACCCATACAAAGGCCTTCAGAGAGGAAGGACTGGTTTTAAAAAGATTTGTGATTTTAAGTGCTGTGAGCCCGAGGAGAGAGCTCAGTTGAATCCACTGTGCAAGAGTAAGAATCTGAGTCTGGATCCCCCAAACCCATGTAGAAAGCCAAGAAGAATGGTGCAGGTCTTTAACGCCACCACTTGCTGGATGGGTGATGGGCAGATTCCCAAATCTCATTGGTCATTCAGCCTAACCAAATTGATTATCTTCAGATTTAACAAGAGACTCTGTCTCATTCACGCACAGCACACCCCATGCACACATACCACCCACTCACACGCACAGCCCATTAAAAAAAAAATCTAGAAATGAATACTGAACGTAGAAGATGCACATGCTGAATTGTTTGATATTTACCTCTAGACTCTTCTTTATTCATGTCTAAGATGGGACTCGACGTTAAAATCTAGAATTGGTGCTCAGTATTAAAATCTAGAATCACAACATCATTTTCTATTTCTGTAGATCTTATTTCTACTTCAGGTGGCTTTTGGCAGTGTGTCACTTCCCTTCAAAGACACCAAGATGCTGTGCATCTGACATCTTTACAAGTTTCTGATCTAGTACAGAAAAAAGAGCTGTCTCACGACATAAACACTCCCACCCGTCAATATAGATGGAGGTTCTAACCAGCCCTGCTCTTTCCAGGAGAGCTTTTGAAGTGGGCATTCTCTGTCTTTGGAAGTTTATTCTTGAGTCTAGTCTTTCCTGGTGTCTAGTTGCTAAATGTAATAGAAAGGGACAATTACAATTATGACATAGCGACAATGAAAGGCCCTATTGATTCGGACCTGCCTAGACCTGCCTGATGTGATTCTGTTGTAACCCTGGTGTAAGCAAATGATTGGAGTGGGGGGAGAAGAGAGGCCTTTGGGTTTGTACTGGGAACTAGTGTTAGCTCAGGCACACCTGAGCTCCCCCATGCACCTTCCATCCACCAGTAGTTTACCTGCACAGTTCCATGGAGCCTTCAGCAAACTATTGAAGCTAATTTTCAATTATGCATGGCTTTTACTTCTGTATTCATATATCCCAAATGAGGTGTTCAGCTCAGATTGTTAAGCTGAGAGGAGAAGTCCAATATGATTAGGTGGAAAGGAGACCAAAATCAGTTTTGAGTAACCGTGAGTCTTGTCAGATAATAAATAAAACCCAGCTTATTCTCAGTGGTCTTCGGCTTGCACAGGCAGAGAATTAACACTGCCAATTGAACTGAAATCATCTCAGTGAACTAACGGCATTTTGAAGAACATAAAAACAGATACGAGGGCAGGAGGCAGAAACAGCTTTAAAGTCCATCTCAGGACACACCTATGCTAACCATCTCCAGAGTTTTGGAGGAGACACGAGGTTTAGCAAGCTACATTTAAATACCACCAGTCTGTAATCATATTACCCCGCCCCCCCCCGACAGATAATTTGGAGGCACTTCCTACAAACCCCACCTCCCCTGTCTTCAATGGTATGTATTCTATTTCTGGGAACCAGTGCCACACTGTCCTGTCACCAGTGAAGAAAATGGGGAAAAGACAGCCAGAGGATACTCAGCACATGTCGAGTTAATTTTAGTATTTCGTGTGGTTTTAACAAATGTGTAGTGACAAAGATGCATGGGATACAATGTGAGTTTTCTGCATGTACATACATAGTGTCAAGACCCCAGAGTCTGTCCTCCTATTTCACTGAAACTTTTGCTCAGTGCCTCCCCTCTCCTCCC